TTCCTTCGCTAAATAAGACTTTTCAGGTTTGTGTATTTAATTCTTGGATGCATGATGACATGAACAAGCTTCTATGGATATTAATACAGAACTTTTTTATTTGATAATTTGATAAGCTCACTTAGATGCTTCTCATCCAATGACAGTTATTCAGATTCGAAGTTATTTTGATTTATTTTATATTATCACAGGATCAGGGAAAAGTATTTGATGAAATATTCCAGCAGTTTCAGAATATGAGAGAAAACTTAAACAACTTCAAATCACATTTTACTGCTGAAACAGATGGCATACCTGTACTTTCAAGGTGTATGCAGATACTAACTCAGAGGTGTGGTAAGTATAATCTGACTACAGTGCGACTAATGACATACCTGTACCGTGTGTAAGTAGATACTTACACAAAGGTGTAATAAGCATAATCTGACTACAGTAGTGTATTTCAATGAGGTGTTTATTTTTGCTTTCTGAACAATGCCCTCACTCACTGGCCAACCTTGTCAAAGCTGTCTGTTTGATAGGCGGAGATAAATTAAAGAGGCACGAAATGCGTATAGTTGTCAATAGATTTTAATATTTGTGTTCTATTTATTCAAAGAGAAACTCTACAGTCATAAACATCAGGGATCTATAAAAAATTCTTTCTATATAGGAGGTGAACATCAAAAACTACATAATTGGGGCTATTGAGAGTTGAAAACCTCTAATTAGATTTTTTGGTAATGGGTATCAGCTTCAGTTGTATTCGCTCAAACCATGCAGCATGGTACACTAGAGTATAAATGTATTAAATCGTCAGAGAAGTGCTGTTATAAGTACCGCCTACTGCAATTCGATTGCACGACGGTTTCTCAAATCTGTCTTGATCATATGGTTTGATAAACCTTAAACTTTATTTTCAACCAATCAGCATCCACGAAGACGGTCAATGAAAGAAAATGTTAGGAAAGAACGAAAGAAAGCTTGGAATCTTACGTCTTGCGAAAAGAAGCATTGTAATTATAGCTGAACACGATTCGTAAAAGGAATCATCTTCCCAAGTCAAGGGTATTTGATCTGCTCCGTCCCACAAGAGAAGCAGATCGTATTAAAAACCCTTTACTTGAGAATGTGTCCGCCATATTCGACTGGACTTTCGCTATATCTGAGGACCCCTATACTTAGAGCCGATCACTTGGTCACTGTTCATTGTAATCAGTGATGTAGACGGACGTTCGCTATACAGCACTCTGTAGCGATAAAAAATAACTCTGTACTTCTTCTAATGAAGGAAAGAAAGATACCAAAGAAACAGACAACAGTTGCACAGGTCAGTGCAGTATACAAAACCAAAAAGGAAGAGACATAAATACGATTAACACCAATAATGTAAATAAATGTAATGCAAGTTAACCACCACGAACACGGGTCGCTATTTCAAGCCGAAATCCTTGACAATTAAGCAGTCAGGTGTGACAATAAAGCAGTCAGGTGTGACAATAAAGAAGTCAGGTGTGACAATCAAGCAGTCAGGTGTTACAATCAAGCAGTCAGGTGTAATGAATGCGAAGAGTATACCCTGGTGCTGATATCTTAGATAGTATTATCGAAAACGGCGTATGCCTATTTATTAGTCGTGTTCAGCTTCTTTTTTTTTTTTTAAAAACACACAAAGATGACATAACTATGGTGTGTGTATCATTGGCGGATCCAGAGGGGGGGGGGGTCCCGGGGGTTGGAACCCCCCCTTTATTTTTTGCCAAGTGGAGAAAGAAAGAGAGAGAGAGAGAGAGAAACAACGTTATCTGAGAAAAAATATTTATACGTCTAACTTATGCATTGAATAGACTCCCACATATTTAGTTTCCTCCATTCACCTTCATTATTACTTTTTATGAGCGAGTGGTAGAAAATATTCTACTTATTTTTATATACACTGTATCTTATATATGTGATATGTAACATGCGAAGTTGAATTTGATATGATATTCCCGTGATCTTTGGCTGTGTTGGCTATATATATGTACCCTTTTTAATCATATCTTTTGAAGGAACTAACATAAAACTCTTTTTTAAAACCCCACCCGGATCTTACCCCCCCCCCCCCCCCCCAATTTTTTTTTCAAATTCTAAAAGAAAATTCTTTTTACTCTAATTCGGAAATGCTGCAGATCCATTAATTTTATAAGGTTTCATTATGTTTTGAAATGAGTTTGTTTTTTATTCTGACTTGGGGTACCTTTTCAAAAAAAAAAAGGATTGAACAAAGATATTATTTACCACAAAATAAGATCTTTCAATACGTGTGTGTGTGTGAATTATTGCTTGAGAGTGTGTATGGGGGGGGGGGTTAGAGGGACGCAATCCTGGAACCCCCCCCCTTTCAAAAATTGCTGGATCCGCCCCTGTGTATGTACATAGTTAAAGTAGATACTTAATATACAGCGATGTGACTGGTGAAATTTGACTTGAGTACGACTGATTACACACCTGTACTGTGTGTATGAAGATAATAACAGTACATCAGTAACCTGACTACAGTACGACTGATGACACACCTGTACTGTGTGTATGAAGATAATAACACAGCACACTAGTAACCTGACTACAGTACGACTGATTACATACCTGTACTGTGTGTATGTAGATAATAACACAGTACACTAGTAACCTGACTACAGTACGACTGATTACATACCTGTACTGTGTGTATGAAGATAATAACACAGCACACTAGTAACCTGACTACAGTACGACTGATTACATACCTGTACTGTGTGAATGTAGATAATAACACAGTACACTAGAAACTTGACTACAGTACGACTGATGACACACCTGAACTGTGTGTATGTAGATACTATACCAGTACAATCAGACTTTAGTACTACTGATGACATAAACCTGTACTGTGTGTACGTAGATATTAACATAGTTTAATATATGACTACAGTACGACTGATGACATATCTGTACTGTGTGTATATAGTTACTGACACAGTACAATCTGACTACAATACGATTGATGACATACCTGTACTGTCTGTATGTATACCTGACTACAGTACGACTGATGACATATCTGTACTGTGTGTATATGGGTCATTCTCAAAAATTGTCCAGATTCCATCAAGAGAATTTAGAGAAAATAAATCCTGAGAACTAAATACTTTAAAGTTTTATGTTAGTAATGAAACATCAGAGATGCGTAAAAAATGTTGAAACACTAAGAATTCTATCAACATTTACTATAAAATCCATTTTAAGTAGGTGCATCCAACAATAAATGTCCATGGTGTTACTTACTTAGAAATCGCAATAAAATAATAAATTACAAAAATTTAAGGTTTCTAGAATCATAATCTAAACATCTTGATCAAAAATATTCTATCAAAACAAACTGAGGATTCTTAAGAAAGAAATTACAGATGACATGAAGCTGAAAGTTGTTAAAATTATAAAATTTGATTATTCTTACATATATATCTTAAGCATATGTCATTTTACCTCAGCATGAAACACTGGCTTTGTGAATATACTTTGTAATAGAAGACAACAGGATTATGTAGCAAGTTTTGATAAAATTGTAGAAAGATTTAGAAAATAAATTCAGGAAAAATGGTTGAGTTACACCAAGGACATATTCATAACACAAAGGACATAAAAGTAACACAAAAGACGTTTTGTTCAAACCTCAAGAATAAATAATAAATTTCTTCCCCTTCCCTCGCAAAAAGCACAACAATGGCATTATCTAATAGATGTTAATGAAAGCATATGATTTTAAGAAAAAAATTGCTTGAGATTTCATTTCTTTTTACATATAGAGTCCGACTAGTAACACCAATGATTAAAAAGTAACAACATAGACATAATTGTCCAATTATAAAGATACGCAAACATCAACAAAAAATAAAAATAAGTTATGCATGAATAATGCAGGATTACTATCTTAGGGCCTAGAATCATTGATCAGTACATGTACAAGTATGTGTATGTCCAAAAAGATGTTGTAACACCAAAGACAAAAGACAACACAATGGACATCTCATTTCATTTGTTTTGTTTTACATGCAGCCTCCTTCCACATTGGGTTATCTATTTAATATTTCCTACCTACAGGATGTGGAGGACGGATTATAACCAAAACATCACCTATGTTGTACTAACATTCATCTTTTACAGTTTTTGGTCAAATTTAGTTTTTTATTTTATTTTCATTAATTACTGCTTTGATCATACATGAAGTTCTGATTGTCTCTTTTCCAGTGTTTCAGCAATTTTATATGGTTTCTTTTCCAGGGTCTCAGTGTTTTCAGTATTTTTATTCATTTTTTTCCAGGAACTCTAGTTGCTCTAGTTTCTCTTCATATGTACTCTTGTCTGCCCTTCCTCTTTCATAAATTATTCGATTTTATGTTAAGTGTTGATCAGCTGCATAAAGAATATACCTTTGTTTAATGCCTATTTGTTGTTTGAAATAAATTTCAAGATATGCCGGGAAAGATAGAGATCAATATTAAGTACTGCCTCTACTATAATGTCAACTCTTACTTCAGCTCTTTGACTTCATTCCAAAAGTTTTCATATACTTCTATAGTGTAAGGTTTACAAGCAATAAGCAATATCCAACCTTTATGGGGAAAATCAATTAGACAAATCTGCATGAATTTAAGAGTATCTTCATCTACATTCAAACAAAAATTCATGATTGGTGACAGATGCATTGTTCCTCTGAAATATAATCTTTTGATATCGCTTTTGATAGTGATGAAAAAAGTCTCCTTTTTGCAACTTTTGAAATGTTTCGTCCTTCCAATATCTTCATCGAGAGAACATAACATAGAATCAACAGGTTTCAGAGTAAAAAATGTCATATATCATAAAACCTGGATTTTTATTTTATTCCCTTGTGTTCCTATACTTCCCTGGAGTTACCACTTTAATCATCTCATTTTTAAGGTTTTCATTATATTTAATGTAACTCAAATTGTACCATCTCCCCACAATTGTTTTCTTTTATACATTGAACACAACTACGACTTCATACGTGGTATTTTTATTTCATTTTTCTATCTTAAATGCTTGTCGTGTCCCTTGTGTAACTGAATTTGTCTATAATGTTACCACAGTTAAGTATTATAGGGTTAAAAAGGGGTAAAGATGTATTTCATAAGAAATTTTGATATTTCAATTTACTAAAAATAAATAATTCTCTCTACTCTACCGCTGAAGCAAGAATAACTACAAGAGTATATTAATTATGAAAATGTTTCATCATTTTGATGTCCATAGAGTTACCAAATTTGTCCTTTGTGTTACACATATCATTTACTGAATGAATTTGTAGCATGTATAAAATATTATATGTAAAACATATGATCAGATGATACAAATATTATTGATATACTATTTTCGATAAACTTTACACATTATATTTTATTTTTAAATTGTAAATATTGAAATTTCTGTACAGATTGTCCATAGAGTAATTAAATACGTCCTTCGAGTAACTTTTCCTACAGTAACAAAATGGACAGTAACGCCAGGGAATTACTACATCAACAGTTACAAGTATAAAAGCAATGGCTGCATTAAAAAGATAGAGCACAGCTCCTACATCATGTGTATTTCACTTCAAAGTCGCTCAATGCATCACAAACATTATATATTAATTTATCTTCACATTATTTAAGTAACTCCAAGGACCTAAAAATAAATTACTCTCTCAACCAAACTCAACTGAAACCAAATATTGTGTCTACGGGGTGAAACAAACATGTTTTGTGTCTTTTTATATTTTGGCGGGTACAATATCTTTAGAAGGCGGCTGATGCTAAAGAGTTCCTTCAAGAAAAATAACTGTTACAGATTACTTTTATGTCTTGGTTACTCCAAGGACACGGCGAAAATCACAAAGTTTTTTTTTAACATTTATTGCTTAAAAAATTATATTCTTACTTTTTTCAGTCACTTTTTAGTATGTTTTTAAACAATGTTAAGTATTTACAATACATTAAAGGTATTTTATACTCCCAAATTATATTTACTGTCTCAATAAGGAGGGTTGAAAATACACCCTCGGCGAAATCACAAGCAATTTTCTTTAATTTATCTCATGTTGAAGGATTTTTTTCAGTATTTATATCAATTTTTAATCGTACTTTAAATCTGTTCTCTGAATTAAAGATCATTGTTAAGTTCATGAGCACAAAAAAGTTTTTATTTTATTATGATATTTACCAGAAAACTTGTATCACTGAAATCTGGACATTTTTTGAGAATGACCCATATAGTTACTGACACAGTACAATCTGACTACAATACGATTGATGACATACCTGTACTGTCTGTATGTATACCTGACTACAGTACGACTGATGACATATACCTGTATTGTGTATATGTAGCTATACACTGTACTTACACAGGAATTTGGTTAGTATATAATCTGACTACGGCTCTCATTGGTACTAATGCTGAGAGGGAGCCAAGAATAAATTTACATAATGTAAAAAATATATATATTGACGTTCGTTCCAAGTCAGTGAAATCTACATTTTTTCTGAAAGCTTTAAACCAACTGAAAAATCATTCTCGCAGCCAGGGGTCCTGAGTCAACCGTGGGCGCCTGGCAATTTGTTGGCTGATTGTAGTGACGTCTTTCGGTAATTACAAATCTTGATTGTTTTTTTTTTCATATCTAACCAATCACATTAATCCATTCTATGATATGAGGACTAATGTAGGTTGTTTATATGTGAATATAGCAAGTATGATTTTAAATTATCAATTTTCAATGACAAATTAAAAATGATTTTTCCAAGAAAATGTATGCAGTTCAGTTGGGAGGGGGGAATATGAAACAGGATTTGTTTTAGGCGCCTTAGTGAAAGTACCAAATATGAATTCAAGTCGGATTCTTAACAATCTCTGATTTTTCTAAGCTATATATTAAAGGTGGCAAAGATTTGTGCTTGCGCCGGAAGGTCAGCAAGCATACCCTAAAAATGGCACCAACCTGTATAAATGTTGTATATATAATAATTGTTTTCTAGATAGCATTTCAATGAGCTGTTCTCTGCTTTATTTATTGCTTGTACCAAAAAAAGTAATGGAAATAAATAAGTGTTATTCTTACATTTTTAAAAAAAATTGTTTTATGAATTATAAGACAAAACAGTACATTTTTTATCGTTCACAAATATCACGACTCTTATGCTAATACCCTCTCCCCGTTAAGTTTTTAACACGAAGCAAATCAGATTACAAGATTTTAATTTCTGATACTGTGTTTGTTTTCACAAATTATAATATAAACGTAAACATTAAGAGATAAGACCGTATCAAATTTATGGAAAGTTAAAGCGTTGAACAGTGGGTTTGGCGAGTATATTGATTTTAGAGATTAAAAGTACAAAAAAGTACTCCCGGAAAATTATGCAGGGCTGTATATCTGACCAAAAAAAAGTTCTCGTTTAAGTCCGAAGTACCTTTAATTTGCCACGACTTTTAACAAGAGTAAAAAATCATTTACTCTCATTAAAAAGAAAAGATGGCATGGTTGAATTGTGATCTCAGTACAAATTTATGGAGACAAATTTATTTAAATATACGATAAAACGAGAAACCTTTTTAAGAAATTCAATTTAAATTTGCAATTTATGTTATCAGTTAACCCATCACCTTAGTAGTTAACCTTATTAGTTAACCTATCACCTTATCAGTTAACCTTATTAGTTAACCTATCACGTTACCGGTATTATATTATCAGTTAATTATCACTTTTTCAGTTAACATATCACCTTATTAGTCAACCTATCACCTTATTAGTTAACCTTTCACCTTATTAGTTAACCTATCAAATTATTAGTTAACTTATCAAATTATTAGTTAACAAATCACCTATTTCTTCCTCATACTTTTTATTTAATGATCTTTTAAATTGGGCGGAAACATCAATATTAGAATGGTGACTTTCAGACATGTACGTGACGGTGTGGTATTATATCATCGCTGTATTTTACCCCGGAACTGACCGATAATTATTGTTTGCTGCTTCTAAAATACGTAAACCTAACAAAATAAACATAAAATAGAGAATGAAGTCAATCCCCATCGAGTGGCTAATGAAAATTAATCACAGACAAACAGACGGACACGGTGTTTTTGTTTGAGTACATTTTAGAGGGAAGTAAAAGTAGTTGCATGAATATGAAAAACTAAACTTGAGTTTACTAAATAAGATACAAAGGTTAAAGGCAAATATGTTTCACAGACATTCCTTTTTGGTTAATATCTACAGAGAACAGAGCAACTTTGTAATTGCTTACAAGTTTTGCCAATTAACAAACCAAAAGTTAATTAAATAAAAAAAATTAATGAATTAATAAAAAGATTGTCTTTGCAGGAAATTGTAAATTAACGGTAGAGAGACGGAAATACAGCGTTGTGATTGTGTACGAGAACCAAGATGTAATGCGTAACAGCACAACGAATCCACAACAAGTCCTCGACTGCTTACAACTATTTAACTCATTCAACAAAAATATACAGAAAATTTTGGAAAGAGCACCGGAAGTAGAGAATTCCGCCAAAATTCTTCTGGATGACGAAGATAATATGCGAAAGGAAGTGACGAAAGCCGATTTGGCGGGAACGGAGGGACCGGAAGCCATGAAGAGGTGTAATGAGAACATTCATAAACTGAGAAAGATGAACAGTCATCTGAAAACTATTAAAAGTCACACAGAACGAACTATGAAGGAAGTTATAGAGGCCTCCAAAGCTTTGTTCAATGAGACAAATCCATAGTGTATACATGTCAAGATTGACGAATGATTATCGTATGTCATTATTTGATTATTTTTTTTTTCTGTTGTGTTATTGAATATATCAATATTTTTTATATTTGTATTTCGTATATTGCGTTTTTTCTGATTTTGCATGCTTCTTGAATTATTCAAGACCTTTTTTGAAAATGGTGATCCGGGTCTTTACGGCGGGAAAGGAATATATTTTGCGGTCCAAGCGAACGAACATGAAGTGAAGTAAACAAAAAACAAAAACAAAAAACTAATTTCACTATTTAGAGTTTTAGAATTTTAATACACAAGTTTAAATCTTTAAAAACCTTAAAATTATATTGTATATTGAAATTATTATTTTTAGCTTAAAAATCTAAATTTCTAAACACGTTTTGAAATGTTAACTTTTTAGATTTTTAGCTCTACTGGTCAGAGACCAGGAGAGCTTATGCGATAGTATGGTGTCCGTCGTCCGTCTGTCTGTCAACAATTTTTCAAATGCTACTCCTTCTACAGTTTTGGTCTGATTTCAATGTAACTTGGCACACAAGTAGACTACACCAATGTACATAATTCTGTGCGTTGGTTTTTGATTTAGATGAACGGTGTTGCCATGGTTACTAAAAATAGAAATTTCTTTGAAATACTTTTAAAATGCTACCCCCCCCCCCCCTACAGTTTTGGTCTGATTTCAATACAACTTGGCACACAAGTAGACAACACTAAAATACATAATTCTATTTATTACTGCCTGTTGCAAAGTTTCAAATCCAAGTGCTACTTTTCCTATGTTATGTGTACAGACCAGTAGAGCTACAGTCTCATCAGAGACTTCTGGTTATCATAAATATTCAAAATTCAAATTTCCTAAAACAAGTTTGGTATTCAAAACTTTTTGAGTTTTTAATGAAACATATGGAGATAACGAACAGTACTAGTATTCAAGATCAAAAGTCCATAAAACAATACAAAATAGGAGCAGAGCAAACAAGGACCTCCAAAACATCAGATGTGGGATCAGGTGCCATGGAAGAGTGAGCATCCCCTGTCGACCAGTCACACCCGCCGTGTGCTCCATGTCATGATCAGGAAATAACTGGAAAATCCGTCGTCAATTCAGTGTGTAAATAATGAACTAACAATTAGTATGAAATACCTGAATGGCTGTCGGAAATTTGAATTTTTAAAGTAACAAGAGGCCCATATGGGCCTTATAGGTCACCTGAGTATCATGTAACAACTTTTCTACAATTTGAATTTTATTCGTGTTTTAAGCCAGAGGCCATGAAATTTACAATTTTTAAAAAGGCATTATTGCTTATCATAACTATACACTTAGCATGCTTACTTTGGTTACTTAATACCCAGAGGTAGATCAGAGTAACAAAAAGAAAATGCATTTCCACTTTATCAGTTGTGCTCCCAATCCCTCAGGAACCACTGACCCTGGGGCCACATCTTTCAAAATTTTGGAAATTTTATAAATTTTATTTCGTCATGTTGATTAATACCAAAGTGCATATTTCAAAGCATTAAATTAATTTCAAACTATGTACCCCCCCCCCCCCCCCAAGTACCTCTGTCCCTTCGGAAATTAACCATTTTGGAAAAGGCAGCTTTCTTAGTCATAAATATGTACTAAGATCATTGTCATAATACCCATGAGCAAAGGAAAAGATTTTCAATGAATTCATGCATTTTCACTATACAAACATACAGCCCTGTCTAACACAATAAGCACTGACCCAGGGGCCCTGAAATTCACAAATCTCAAAGAGGCATCCTTCCTCCTCATAACTATGTACATAGTTCATTGGTTTAATAACCAGGTGCAGAAAAGAAGATTTTTAAAAGAATTTATGCATCTTCACTATATAATCAACAGAACCCCACTCTAACACTAGAACCCCCAACCCAGGGGCCATGAAATTCACAATTTTGGAAGAGGCAGCCTTATTCAACATAACTGTACAATTGGTCAGTTTATTTAATGCCTAAGAGCAGAGAAGAAGAATTTCAAAGAATTTATCCATTTTCACTATGTAATCTATATAGCCCCGCCCTGCCACTAGAACCCCTGACCCTGGGGCCATGAGATTCACAATTTTGGAAGATGCAGCCTTATTCAACATAACTATGCACTTGGTTAGTTTATTTAATGCCCAAGAACAAAGAAGAAGAATTTCAAAGAATTTATGCATTTTCACAATATATTCTATATAGCCCCGCCCTAGCACTAGAACCCCTAACCCCTGGGGCCATGAAATTCACAATTTGGAAGAGGCGGCCTTATTCAACATAACTATGCACTTGGTTAGTTTATTTAATGCCCATGAACAGAGAAGAAGAATTTCAAAGAATTTATGCATTTTCACTATATAATCTAAATAGCTCCACCCTTTAGCACTTGAACCCCTGACCCTGGGGCCATGAAATTCACAATCTTGGAAGAGGCAGTCATTTTCAACTTAGCTATGCACTTGGTTAGTTTATTTAATGCCTAGGAGCAGAAAAGAAGAATTTAAAAGAATTTATGCATTTTCACTATATAATCTATATCGCCCCGCCCTTGCACTAGAACCCCTGACCCTTGGGCCATGAATTTCACAATTTTGGTAGATGACTCAATGCTGATTACAATCATACCAACAGTTTGACTGCTTGATGTCCAGGAGTAAAGAAGATTTTTAAAGATTGCATTAATTTTAATGGTTTTGGCCCCACCCCCAGGCCCCAGGAGGGGGGGGGAGGGACCATGAAATTCAAAATTTTTGTTCCCCTTCTCCCATAGATGCAATATGCCAAATTTGGTTGAAATTGGTTCAGTGGTTTCAGAGAAGAAGCTGAAAATGTTCAAATGTTAACGCACGACGGACGACGACAGTGTTTACTCAGGTGACATAGGAGGATTTTACCCTTACTTTGGACTTTCAGTAGGCGTGACTTTCTCGGCGCTACGTAATAGCGAATACTAGTAGATTCTCATTGATTACGAAATTAATAACATCAGGAACTGAAAATTGTTGTTGATAAAGATGAGACGACTTATGCCCCACCTCTGTGCCGTGAGAGAACTTTTAATTTGCTATTTACTACACCAGTTGACATTCGGCTGCATTTCTATCATATGTATATTTCAACAGTGATGGGAAGCTGTGTAAATTTCAGAAGCTAATTAGGTAACGTCGAGAATGCCACGCCTTACTGAAAGTCCAAACTCAGCGTGTAATGGTAATAAAAATCTAAAACTTCCAACTTTTAAACTTGTTATGAAATTTGAAAATTTGGGGAATGAAATAAATATTAAATTCAAATATACGAAATCAATTTACGTTTTTGAAATTTAGAAATTTGAACCGATACATTGAAATCCCAAAAGTATAAATCATTTTAGAAATTTAAATGTTAAGTGTTACTCGAACCATTTCAGCCATCTTTTAGGGATTCTGTGTTTGTTACAAGGTGATCTGTAAAAACTTGTAGGACTTCACAATTTTAAGGGATGACCACATTTTATTGATAGTGACGTGACTGGTATAAAATGAGGTCACGAACAAAGAGATAACAAGCAAATTCAAAGAATTGTGGTCACCCGCTTTCGGTGTCTTTTTGTGTGGGATGTCATTTGTTATGACATATTGTGTCAAATTTTGTCATAGGTAATGCACATGTCAGATATGAAAGCCCTATCTCTTCTCAATCAAATGTTATAAGGAAGTGAACCTCATGACCCTGTATGGCAAAATAGCGAAGACTCAACTTTTCTTAAATGCAAATTAAATATATATTGGTACCACCATGGAACTTAATTAAACCAAATGTAGACACATCTTTAACTGAGTTTAAGAAAGCAGAAACCAATTCTCTTGTTTTTAAACAGAAATTAGCCAAAATAAAACAATCAAAATATTCTACAGTCGAAATTTATACAGATGGTTCTAAAGACAACAATAAAGTAGCAGCGGCTGCAGTGAATAAAAACAATGTTTTCTCTTTACCGCTTCCAAAGGAAGCAACAATATTTACATCGTCTCAAGCCACGGTCCGGGGTCCGCATATATAGCTCTCTCCTACCCGTGGCTACTTGATCACAAAAAGTGTCGTAATCTAGAATATTTACGCCTCTCTATTGTGACGTCATATTCAGTCAGTGGCAAGTTTTGTTTCCATCGCAATCGAAATCAACAACTGACGTCAACAGTATACAAGAAATATTTCCTATACTGCGATTGGACATTGAAAGGTCGCGATAAAGTTCATCATCCGACTATGCTTTATTCGCATTGGTCAATATTTTAATGAGTTACGAAGAATTCTCTCCTCGTTCAACCACGGCCAGATGGGAGAGGAGCGTACATTTTGGCCGTGGTTTGCGACGATGCAATATTTACAGCAGAAGCAAAATCAATACAGCTCGCATTTGAATATATAAAATCTTCTAATGTCAACGATTTTACAATATTTTCGGACTCGCTTTCTTGCTTACAATCTATACAAAATATGAATATCGATCAACCATACATTCTAGACATACTAAATCAGTACTTTCATTTTACCCAACAAGGTAAAGTAGTTGATTTTTGTTGGATTCCAAGTCATATTGGCATTATTGGAAACACTAAGGCTGATAGTGCTGCAAAAATGGCACTTCAGCATGACATAACCTGTTTTAAAATTCCTTATACTGATCTGAAATATAAAGTGAAACTTTATGTAAATTCTATTTGGCAAGTTTATTGGGAGTTTTGTGACACAAGTAAACTATATGCTATAGAGAACAAAGTAAATAACAAATCATCTAACTTTGGCCTTAAACGTCAGGACGAAGTGATTATTTCAAGACTACGTATAGGTCATTCAAAAATAACTCATGCATAGAGAATTACAGCCAGAAAGTATATCATGTGACTGTCCGCTCACTATAAATCATATTCTTTTAGAATGTACTGATTTCTCGCCTATTCGAGGTAGACTTTTCAATAACGTACAAACGATGCGTGAACTGTTTACAAATGTTAATGTTAATACAATTTTAGATTATTTGTAAACATGAAACTGATTTTTACAATAAAAATTAATGGTACACAGTGCAATATATTTG